AGCATCGCGCTGTTTCGTGTTCTCAAAAATTCCTTAACTTCTGGGCTCATGTTCATGTCTACGTAACTTTCAAGCTGCATGCTTACTCACACGGCCTAGACTCGCGTGGCTCGGCCGCAGTGAGGGCGGCTAGCGCCCGAATCCGAAGCCAAGGTTGCAAACCCTCTCTCCCACACACCCCCCTTCGCCAAGCCTCGCATTGCAATCTCAATGCGCACGTCAACTTCTCTCAACGAAAGCCGTCTTTTTGAAAAGAGCGGCCTGTTACCCAGGTCGGCCCACGTCTCGCTGGAGATATCTGGAGAGCCTGCGAAAAGATGAGCGTCGTTTAGGGCTCCAATGAGGGATCTCGGAAGTGGGTCTATGTAGAGGTCTAGAAGGTTTGGGGGTTTGGGGTGCTGCTTTTTTTTGAGGGCTTCTTGTGGTAAGCATCTTGCTGCACATAGGGGCCTAAAAGGTTGCATGGGGAGTTTCAGACCCAGAATCTTGGGAGTTGACCCAAGTTAAGGTGACGGAGGAAAGGAAGCACAATGGAGATTATCTGTAGCAGTCGTACTAAGGGGCAATGGCAATCCAAGACAGCGGCAAGAACAAGAAGCGGTCGCTCGAAAAGTTCAGCATATGATCATATGATCTGAAGGTGCGGCCGCTTTTTCGTCGCTAAGCTCTTAGTTCAGACTGAGGACAACAGCCTTGTCACCAATTAACGGCGGTACACATCCTTCAACCCTCGACCCTGCACCCTACCAATCTGGTCCTTTTTCATAATTTCGAAGCCGCATCAAGAGGAGGCGTACCCGTTTGAGGTGTAGGCGTCCGGAAAGCAAACCGGAGACCATAGAGTAGTCGTACCAAGGGGTCATGGCAATCGAAGACTTCGGCAAAAGAGCAAGAAGCAGTCGCTTGAAAGGCTCAGTCTCTGCTCTGACGGGTGCAGCCGTTTCTTCGCTCCAGAGCTCTCCGCGCCCAGTTTGAACGCTGCCCCAGCTCTCCTGATGGCTGCCTTTGCAGGGGCCTCGGGCCTGAGAGGATCTTTCGAAGTCCCCAATGAAACTGAGAAGCCCTTGGTAAGCATCCTTCAATCTTGAGCCCCTCAACCGTGCTCTTTCTTCGTCAACTCTCCCTGAAACCTAACCCCTCTATCCCTAAAGCCCCTTATACAGCATCCTTCAACCCTAAAACCCGTCAAGACTCCTGCAACCCCTTACGAACTCTTAAACCCTGAACCCTAAGCCCTAAACCCCTCAACCCGTTAAGAACCCTTGAACCCTGAACTCCTTACGAATCCTAGACCCTAAACCCTAAACCCCTCAAAGAGCCCTTAAACCCTGAACCCCTTGAGAACCCTGGCCTATTCTTGCCGAAACTCGAGAAACTCGTCGTCGCCAGGCCGAGGCCCAGGGTACGGAGAGCGCATGGGTGGGCTTAGGCTTTCGCGCTTGGGGTCTAGGGTTTAGGGTTTAGGGCTTTGGGTCTAGGGTTTAGGGTTTGGGGGTTAGGGTCTAGGGTTTAGGGTTTAGGGGCTAGGGTCTACGGTTTAGGGTTTAGGGGTTAGTTTGGGGTTTAAAGGGTTTAGGCTTAACAGGGGCTTAGGGGATGATTATAGGGAATATCGGGGTATATAGGGGTTTATAAGGGTTATTTAGAGGTTCATAGGGGTTGATTGGGATTTATAGGGGTTTAGGGTGAACAGGGTTGAGCGGGGGGGGGGGGTCTGAAGCTTTAAGAGCTTTGGGGTGTTGGGCTTTAGGGTCGGTCTGCAGGTTTGCAAGTTATGTGTTCGTGCGTCTACTCGATACCCGTAAGTATATGAACGCTTGCCATGAAAGCGCCATCAAAGGAACGCCTTTTTGCACCTGCCTAAGCCCTCAACCCTAAGCCCTCAACCCTAAACCCTAAACCCTAAAGCCTCAACCTGTGACCCTACGGCCCGAAGCTCCGAGCTGCGAAGCCCCGAACATCTCCGAATCTGCAGCCCGTCGCCCCCCCCTCCAAAACCCAGAGAAAACTAACTAGCGTGCCTTATTTTGGGGTCCTTATCATCAGGGATCCTGCTGTTTAGGGTGCTAGATTGGGGTCCCCCATTTTCGAAAGCCGAACCCTTAGCGCCGAAACCCAGAAGGCCCGGAGACCCAAAACCTTAAACCTCTCAAAGCCCTAGCCTCAAACTCACAAACCGCGAAACACACAAAGCCCGGACTCCTGAAACCGCAAAGTCCTCTAGATCCTTTGCAGAACGCCATACCCTAAACCCTAAATCCTAAACCCTAAACATAAACCCGAAACCAAAAACCCAAACCCTATAAGCCCCAAACCCCTTAGTGGAGCCCGTAGCGGAGCCCTTTCCCAAGGCCCTCCTCCCGTTGTTGGCTGTCCTCGTCGCAGCTGAGCCAGGGACCTTTGCGGGTTTGCTACGGTTTTGGGGTTTTTGGGGTTAGGGTTTCGGGTCTAGGGTCTAGGGGTTTCGGGTTGAGGGTTTAGGGGTTTAAGGTCTAGGATTGAGGGCCTGGTAGGGCTTGTTGGAGTTCAATCGGATCTACTCGGGTTTAGGGTTTACCAGGGCTTGTTGGGGCGCATCAGGCTTTCGGGAACTTTGCTTCTTCAGGCTTCGTTCACCCCGTCCTTAGCGAGGAGTGGGACATGTAAGCATTAGTGGTGTAGGTGGTCGATTCCCCCTGCTGTAGATAGCTCTCCCTGCTACTGCCTGCACCAGCATGGTATTCCCGACCAGATGCGGTAAGGAAAGGAGGTGTCAAGAAAAAACCTGAGCCCTAAACCTTAAACCCCAAACCTTTTAAGCCCTGAATCCTAAGCCTTGTGTAAGCCCTCAGCCAGCCCTTCCTTGCCCGGCCACAAGATCAAGGAACCGCGCAGACAGCTCACGGCCACACGCCCACAAGCTTCAAGCCTGAACTCTGTACGCGCAAAATTCCACTATCAACACCAAAAGTCCAAACCCTAAACCTCCAAACCCCAAGACCCCAACACCGCAAACACCAACGGACCCCAAACAACCCAGTGCCCTAAACCCTAAACCCCAAGCCTCCCCAGGCCGGCAGCTTCGTTTCTGGAAGCCAGCAAGGTCCCCACCCTTCGTCGGGTTTGGGGCGTGGAGGGATTTAGGCTTTGGGGGGTTTCTGGGCAGGGTTTAGGGTTTCGGGGGGGTTTCTGAGTAGGGCTTTTGTTAGTTGTTAGTTTGGGTCGAGGCATGGGGGCTTTCGGGGGTGTTCATGGAAGGGTTTCAGGGACGGTTTGGGGTCTTTTGGGTGTTTCCTCTTCTCCTAGGGTTGGCCTTAAGAGAGAGGGTTTTGTCGGGATTTGTTGGTTTTGGGGTTTGGTGTGGAAGGACTTCGGGGGCTGTTGCGGCTTTGGGATGTGGGGGGTCTCGAATTTTGGAGGCTTGAAAGACCTGAGCCTACCACAGAATTGAATTCGCGGAAGCCCTAGAAACATTTAAAGTTCTGGAGATTTAAAGCAACGTCCCAGACCCCTATAAACCTCTTGCCATGCCTAAACCCCGAGCCCCAAAGAGTTGAGGCCTCACGGCTTGACCTGAGGTTGTGATAGCGACGAATAAGATGAGGATTCTGACAACCAGCAGGGCTGCCAGCATTCAAAGCTGAGGAGGACAGCCTACTTGCAAAGTCGAGCGGCCGTGCCAGTGTAGTATGGAGGATAGCATGGGTGGTAGGGGCCAGTCCCTCCGCTCAAGCTCCTGCCCTCGCCTCGCGCGCCAGGCCCGGCAGCTTGCCGTGGTGAGCGTCCAAACCTGCCCTACAGACCGACTGCTCCGGCCTCAGGTTGGAAGGACCCGTCGTTTCCAAGGGTTTTCCCTTCATTCGCCGTCTATTGAGGACCGAAGTAGACACATTCATGTTTCGGCTGCTCTGGTTATTGCCACTGAGGCTGCTGCTGATGGTGGTGTTGATGATGATGAGATGATAGTGCTATTGATGGTGGTATTGATGCTTCTGCTGCTGCTGTCGCTGCTCTCGCTGCTGGTGGAGGTGGCAGCGCTGGTGTAGTCGCTGTGCGTATGATTGCCATTGCTCTTGCCTCGTCTCTGCGATGATTCGGCCGTATAGTGTGTTGTGCATCGTTGCGCTTAGCATATGTTTATTTTGCTTCTTCTTACGATCATCATTCCTGTTGCCAGTGGTCGGTCCTGTGCCCGTTTTTTTGTAGAGCCGAACGGGAAGGGAAGGTGATGCACGGACTGTTTGTGTTCTCAGCCCCTGGGCGGTACAGCCAGGAGTGTTTTGCTGTTTTGCTATTTCTAGGGGTGTGGATCAGTTACCTCCTGCATGCAGTGCTTACAGGGGGGGGCGACCTTCCAATCCCTTTCATCGGGACGATATCTGGAGCCCTGCCAGAGCGGGGCACCCAGGCAGAGGCTACCATGTCAGAATCAACGGTGACAGGGGCATTGGGTATGATCAGGAGAGTATCTAGCAACAGAGGTCATCGTGTTCGTTTTTTAAGCTTGAAGTGGAACGGATGGGACACTTTGTGGACAGCATGTCGTTTCGAGGGCTGCTTAAACAATGCCGTGCAAATCTGAACTTATGATCTTTTTCGCCTACGAGGACGGAAGAGGAACTCTGCAACAATGAGCCCTAAGCCAAACCACCCAGGCCCGATGTCTTGCGCCCAAGGCCAGAGTTGCTCGGGAGTTTCTGCGAGGCTTTTGTACGCGGCATAGCTAAACACAGGGTTCTCTGGCCCGAGGCTCTAAGCAAAAGAGATGGCAGTCAACATCGGTTTCGCACGACAAGCAGCTTTCGACATGAACTTAAGACAGAAGAACGCTGCTCTTGTTGTCTTCTGCATTGAGTTCCATGCGAGGGCCCACCACTTGTTGCCCAAATCAAGGTCCATGTGCAGCTTTGGTGTGAAGTTGAACTCCTTTCGACTGAGTTTTTTGGTCTACCCGAGCCTACCCTGCTCCCAGGATCAAGCTTGCTTTTCCCGGCCGCTCCGCACATGCCAGGTTCCAGGCCATGGAGCTCCACATGCGCTCGGTTCCGGGCTGGCAGCCGCTGGACGAGCCCCAGGCAGGAGTCTTTGTCGGAGACCAGTTTGGAGGTGTTCCCAAGGAGTCAAAGCGTGCTCCCGTCGCAGGCGGTGCTGCCCACCGCCTTGGAGATGCCGGAGGAGGCGGCTTTGGCGGCGCGTCGAATCGACGCGCTCATCGGCGGCATCCTCACCGTCGGCCCGGGCACTCAGGTTGTCGGCTGCAGGGGGGATGTCGTGTTCAGGGCAGGTAGGATCACGAGGAAGGCAAGAGGCGCTGTGTGAGATGCCAAGCAGACATGTACCATGAGTGACGGCGGCCCATGCAGTGTGACAGCGAGCAGGGCTACCTCCCTACCCAAAGAAGCTGCGCACCAAAGAGGGAAGCCAGGTCTGACCCCCAACCTGTGTGCCTGCAATTCTCGCGACACGTGTATAGTTAGTATATAGTCCATCATCAGAGCAAGAAGGTAAAACATGACATAGGTTGGCGAAGGACTAGGCCGAGGACCACGAGTGGATTTATTGGCACCTCAACACGACGCTTGGGTCAGGGTCAGCCCACCAGACATCGGAATATTCGGGACCTTGGCAATGGCATCGAAAGACTGCATATCATGACTTTGGCAATGTGTTTTCTCCGTGTGCGCGCGTGTGTGTGTGTGTGGGTTTGTTTTGCAGCTGGCAGTCTCTCGCAGCGTGGCCACGGATGGACTTTGGGTGCGTGATGCGGGCATGTATGTGGGCAATGCGGCTTGCGTAGCCCGAGCGGGGGGCAGCAGCGGGCAGAGGACCCCGAGTACTGCACAATTTCTGGGCTCACAGCCTTCAGCACTTGGCATCGAAGGGTCATGTCGGTGGTAGCGCAGCGCGTGAAAGCGGAGTGAGATACCGCACATTGTAAGGTGAGAGGCTTCTGTTCAGACACCGAGCTAGGGTCAAATGTGGGTGGTAGAGGCGTGCCCTGCTTGAGGTCTGGCCGTCGTTGCGGCAACCGTGCCAGTGGCGCTGGTGTCCTTGTTGGCATGCATGGGATGCCAGGGAGCGTCGACAGGGCCACGCACCAAGAGGTGGCCACAGGCCACAGGGAAATTGGAAGTGATCTACGATGCAAGACGCTTTTGGGCCTGAATTGTTCTGTTAATTTTGTTTGTTCTGGCTGCTGTTAGGCGCAACGGTTCGGCTTGAGCTCTGAGGTCAAAAGACCACGACTACACCAGTCTCTCAACCGTCGAAGAGGGAGCAGGAGAGCTGGGCACCGTGGGATGCCTGTCGCTTGGTGTCCTCTTCAATTACTCCCGCCCCCGGCAGGCGAAGTGGCTCAGGAGCAGAAGGACGAGGAGGAATTCGAAATCCGGCTAGGCCCACTTAAGACCGCCATCTTTGGAGTGCGGGCCTCGTCCTGGACGTGCCGGATGGCAGC